TCTTACTGCAACTGATCTGCAGTTTCATGGTTACATTTACTGCTTTTCCATTACAAACAAGATAAAGCTGTAGCTGGGACTCATTTGGGTCAGTGGAAAATGAGATCAGTAAAACCCAAGCTACATATGGCGGTTGGGGACGGGTGACCATACTTTGATGACATGGCTGTAAGATGAAATGGCACCAAGCTGCATCAGACTGGGTAACTGAACGTTTCATATAGCCAGAGATCACATGCCTTACAGTTCAAGCCTGGCTCTTACATTCTTGTGGTTGTAGCACTTATTGATGCTTTTTAGTAGTGGAGATCGTTAAACTGCAAAGTATACGCTAATGCTCCTTCAGCTGGAACCATTAAACACTCATGTCAAAGTTTGTTACAGTACATTGTGATAAATACCCAGCTCAACCACAACAAAGCTTTGAAAGACAGCAGTCCTGTTGTGCTAAAAACATGAATAAGCAGCTCTGGAAGCAACATGGCTTTCCACATATTGTACATTAAACATGCCTGCAAAGTACCTCTAGTGGCTGTAGTAATTAGACACAAGCAAAGGAGGAAATGAGATGGCAGTATACTGAATACAGCAAGAAGCCCCGGTTAGACAGAGACTCAGGTCGATGTATGGGTGGTTCTTAAAAGATTAGACTTTGCCACAGGAGAGAGATGTTAAACTCCAGTGTGAGCCGTTGTTTGTGATTAAAGAGCATTTTGACCCAAGTCATAATCTTGTCCTAAATAAAAACCATGTAGCTTTTGTTCCAAACATAACCAAGTTGATCTAACACCTCCATGCTGGTGACAGTTGTTACCAGCGACATTATGTTTTTGGGTTGTCTGTCCATTAGTACGTACGTATGTCCAAATGTCCATTTGTCCTGTTTTCATGTATGCCATATGTAAAGGACGGTTTAAGAGAATTTCCTCAAATTTGTCATAAGTATCTACCTGGATTCAAGGATGAACTGAACACCATCTAACACAGTCAGGCTGAGTAATCAATGATAGAAATGTCACATTTGCTACAGTATAACATGTTATACTGAAGTGGCATCTGCAATGGAGAATGAGTCACCCTCCCCTTCAGAATTACCATGTGCCTTCATAAAATCGGCATGTGCCACTTATACAAACGTGGCATGCCAAATGCCAAGGATACTTGGCAATACTGACCATAAGTCCTTCTTTAATTTGCAGGCTACTAGTAACTTCAACCCAAAAATAAGATGGCAATAGTCAGACAAGTGAAAGCGCTGAGCTGTACATGAAGTCCAACACAGACATCACCAAAGAGCAGAAATTATTCTCTGGAAGAAAAACTGGTTACAAATAAATCCCAGTGTCATCAGTATGAAATATTAGTCTGGAGCCCTGATGGTCAGATAATTCACAATCTTTGCAATACCTGGTGACAGAAAGAAGATTGGATTTTATGAGCCCGGTGCAGGGTTAATGAAGAATTAAAAAAAAAAAAATCCTGGATGTAGATGATGATCTAGATCAACACCAAAATATAAATATTTGTTCCGTAGGCCATACCCTACCTCTACATTTGATCCAAACCCATTCATTTTTGAGTTATGCTGTGAACAAACGAACCAACAAATGCTAGACAAACACTTACCCCCACCTTGATAGACGTAATAATGATGGTATATTAATAATTTGACACAGGACCAAGAGAGTTCAAGAGCAAGATTTTACGTAATTTTAAGTCATTTTGGTCAACAAACACATTCCATAGAGCTAATAACCACTGGGAAGCAGAAAATGCTCCCACACCCCAGAGAGCCCGTTAGAGACACTTACAGTCACTCTTTCATATTTTTTGCTTTATTCTCAGTAGACCAATAATTGCTGTGACATTAGGGCTTAATAGGACAGGATGCATTCTTGTCTGTCCCTTCCCACAACAAGGTGCATACAGTATGTGAACATTCATTAATACAGTATATCTTGTATCTTGTAATCTATCTTCAAGTGCACTTCTGAAGCCCTTGATTTAATGAAAAAACAATCACAGACTGTCACTTGTGATTTTGAGCAGTCACGTGGATTTCTAAAATCTGCAGGGCTATCTACAGTACAACAAGAGACAACACTTCATAAATTACCCCAGTACAGCACCTTCTGTTAGACAGGCTCTTCAGTTTCTTTGTCATCCTTTTTATTCACATCTACATTATGTTCGATGAACTCATTTTCACTCTGCTGCACAACTGACAAAATACGATTTAAGACAGAATAAGCCAGAATCACTGTTTATTACTGTACATCAGACAAGGACAAAATGAGGAAAGAGAGGAACTTAGGAAAACATCACAGAACTGTATTTGTGCTGATAATCTAAATTATTCTTCATGTTCAGTATAGGAAGGAGAGAAGGACAATGTAAATGCTGACATAATCAACAATCACTGGAACAAAGCTGAACACTATGAAATAGCCCAATGCACTACTGCAGATACACTCAAATGTGACTTCCAGAATAGTGTATATCATACATCAAGTCCTGTTTATAACACTGTTGTGACTGCTATACAGTATATACACAAATAACGATTCATCTCTGCTTTAATTCTTTTTAATTATGCAGGTGAAACACTATTAGTTATATATGAAATAAACTGTTATCCCAGCAGTTCCAGTTTGAGAGACTCCCTAACAACAAAATACAGCTTCATTTAGCTGGTCCCAGCCAGACTGAAGATGAACAGTAGAAACTACAGATATGAGAAGATTTGTCATTAAAAATCTTCTTAACCTTCTTCTCTCTGTGTATATTTTATGTGATAAAAAGACAAATGAATATTTTAATCTATTAGATTTTCAAATCTATTCTTGAGTGACAACCAGGCACAAGGACAGTTTCTTCCCCCAGGCTGTCACGCTGATGAATACTTGACCCACAACAGTATGACTGGACAATAACCCTCAGTGCAATAACTTCCTCCAGTGCACTACCTGTAAATATACATTGTACAGGTTATACAGATCCGTACAAGTCTCTATTATTAAGTACTCTAGTTTTATCCCTATTTATCTCATTTCAATGAGCATTCCTTTGTCTGTCTGCATTGTTTATTGCTTGTTAATACATCTTATTTTGTTATATTACACAGCCTTATGCTGGTTTACTGTATACTTGCCCCTTGCATGGGGATATGTACATGCACACTGAGAGCCGATGTACCAGAGTCAAATTCCTCGTGTGTCCGATGCATCGGGCCAATAAAGCAGATTCTGATTCTGATTCTGATTTTCCTCTATGTTACATGTAGTGCAACTTGAGGTTGTCTGCAGTTAAACGTGTTAACAAAGAGGAAATAAAATGAGCCCATTTTCACTGTACCATCTCTTATTTTCATTCATTCCTTATGTAAAAATATAATTCAAATAACATTTTTATGACAAACTCTTTATGTTATATATTGTATATACAGTATGTTTGTTCTGCCCGCACAAGACTATTAAGTGTCTTAAGCCTAGTCTGGCATGCAATGGTTTGGTTATTTTAAGCTGGGTATTTATTGTTTTAACAAATGTTACTCTTCGTCCTGCACTTGGTGATGCTCAGCAGG